AGCCTCGACGTGGCCAGAGCAGCCCCTCCGTTCCTTCTTGTGAGCGTTTCCGTACTCTGCGTTTCGACATTGGGAGCGAAGGGGGGGGAGGGGATGGGGGGGGGGGTCTGGCTCCAGACCTCTGCTTCGGCTCTGACCAGGCCCACCACGATTTGGCGCGACGCGCTGAGTGAGAGTTTTCTTATCAGGCGCTTCGACATTAAGCGGAAGGGGGGGAGGTGGGGGGGCTCTGGACCTCCTCAGCCTCGCGCGATTGTTTGGAACCGTGCGTCCGCTGGGGGAGACTCCACCTGCTCGAAACAGGCGCCAAAGACAGCCAAGATCTACTCCATGGGGGAGGGGTGGGGAGGGGGGGGTGCGAGGGCCCGCGCCGATCGGCAAGACGATGAATAAAAAAACGATCACCTCCAGCGCTCCTCGTGGGAAGCGCGATGGCTGTACACGTAGAGTCTCGGAGCTCCCCGCGCGTCTCCTGGATCGGTGCGGGGCCCTCCTCCCTGGCGTGGGGAGAGCGGCAGGGGCTGCGCCGATGTCGCCGCCCAGGGGGGGCCCAGCGCCGATTCGAGAAATCCGCTCGGAGCTCCATAAGTTTGTGCTCCTGCAGCTCGGCTCTTCCTCGGCGCATGTAGAGGCCCCCCAAATGGGGTCCAGGTAGGTGGGGTCGAAGGATCTCGAAGCATCGCTCCGCATCGCCGACAGCTGCGATGAATCGGCGACGCCGACGTGGAGAACATCGGGCTCCACGTCGGGCCGCATCGCCGATGCATCGGCGATACGGAGCGATCGTTCGACCCCATCTGCTCGGACCCCATGTGGGAGACCTGCAGCAGGAGCTCGACCAGAAGAAACCTTCCACAAAGAAACCAAACCCTGAGACCCCAGGACGTCCATGGATTTTTGGTGTGGGAACCTCACGCTTTCCATAGCAAATCATCGAAACCCCAGAAGCCGAGGGCACCCTGGAGGCAAGCAGGATGTTTCTTGACGTGGGATTCCACTGTGCAGAGCCTGGGGCACCAGCCGCCCCGCCCTCGGGAAACCGACGAGGACCTGCTCGTTGAAGCACTGCCCGTCCGCGAACTCCTCGAGGCGCTCCCCGCCCGGGCCCTCGACGCGCACGACGCCCTGCAGCACCAGCACCGCCGCGTCCTCCGAGCGGCGGTCGGCACTGGCTCTTCGACAGCGGCGACGGCGATGATGAGGAGGATGAGGATGCTGATGCTGATGCTGATGATGGTGCTGATGATGATGATGATGATGATGATGATGATGATGATGGTGCTGATGATGATGATGATGATGGTGATGATGGTGCTGATGATGATGCTGATGACGAAGACGACGCTGATGACGAGAAAGTGCTGATGAGGATGAATCCGAGGATGAGGATGAGGATGATGATGAGGATGATGAGGATGATGAGGATGATGAGGATGAAGATGATGAGGGCGATGACGATGACGATGACGACGACGATGACGACGACGACGATGACGATGACGATGATGATGATGATGATGATGATGATGATGATGATGATGAGGATCAGGATGCTGATGCTGATGCTGATGCTGCTGATGATGGTGATGAGGATGATGATGGTGATGATGATGACGAAGATGGTGCTCATGATGAGCATGAGGATGATGATGATGCTGATGAGATGCGGATGTTGCTGATGACGAAGATGATGCTGACGATGATTGATGACGACGCGGCGGCGGCCACGACGACGACGGCGACGACGACGACGGCGGCGGCGCTAGGTCCTCAGGCAGCGGCGCGCCCGTGGCGCGCGAGGTCCAGGAACCCGCTGGCGTCAGGTAGCGGTCCGTGTACAGGTTTACGTGGTAGAGCCTTTTAGCGTTTGGTTGATGACTCGACCGATCACGCCCATCCGATCACGTGATCCAATTGAAGACCTGAACACTATGGCTACTGCGCCGATCACGGATCGATCACGCATTCGAGATCGGACGGTCGCGTGATCAAGCCGAAACGGTCACGCGATCGGCGATCAGGCGGTCCCCCGATGACTGCGATCGCGGGATCAGCAGACACTGAAGGCAGAGCAGGTCGGCCGGGAAGTTGGCGAACAGGGGCCAGCGCGCGCCAGCCTCCGTGGCGCTGTGGAAGGAAGGAAGAATGGCATGGACATACTACTGTCGAAGCTCCGCGCGGACTCCTGGGTCGGCTCTGCACCCCCTGCCGGGCGCGCGAAGCGCGACAGGGGCGGCGCCGGGGGCGCCGCCGAGGGATCCGGCGACGACCCAGGAATTCCGCGCGGAGCTCGGACAGGTCATGCTCATGCATTGTTTTCTTCCTCGAGCTGTACTGGGTGGTGAGCTTCTCGAAGTGCTGGCGCTCCTCCGGGTTCTTGTCCAGCGCGGAGAGGAACGCCGCGCGGGGCACCTCCAGCATCTGGCACAGCGTCACGGCCCGCACCGTGGCGCCCCGCCGCCGCACGATGCCCAGCATGGCGAACTCCCCGAAGCTGCCTCCCCGCGCCACATCCTTTGGGGAATCCCAAAAGTACCATTCAGTCGGGCGTGTCCCTCTACAGGAGGAAAATTCAGAAATCATAAAAAAGGTCTTGGGGCGACGTTATTCTACTATGTTTGATCATTTTGGGAATCTGTTGCTTACTCTTTTTTTATTTCGTCCCAAACCAGCCTGTAGAAGGATATGCCTGGCCTAAAAGTACCAATGCCGTTACTACCTGGACGACCTCTCCCGGGGTGCGTCCTGACCAGAATTAGAACCGAGTGCAGCGGGGGCAACGAGGGCCTCCCAGGACCCCAGGAAGCCCAACACGGGGAAAACGCGGGAAGGGCAACGGTATGGGTCCCTTTTCCTCATCCGGTCCTTGGGCTCCTCGCCGCGCCTGCTGCTCACCGCCCGCCCGCCCTTCAGCACGAACATGTGCGCCGCATCGATCGCGCCCTCCACCATCACCTCGGCATGAAGGAAGCTGAGTGGCAAGAAAAGAACCCCTCACTCTTTGGGAGGATAGCTACAGTGGGGGCGTTGACCTAAGGAACCCTAAATAAGGAACGAGGCCCAGTTCTTCATTGGTGAAACTTCGATTTCCGATGGAAAACCGAAGGTCAAACTATGACAAACAGTGAAACAACTGAGGAACACGGAGCCCCTCCCAAACGACAAGGAATCCTTCTTCAGCGCCCCACTGTAAGTTCGGGGGGCCAAAAACATTAGCGATAAGGTTTTGTTTGCAGATGTGCCTAACCAAAAACCACCCAGATCTACGATCCCTAATGCAGAGGCGGGGACCCAAGCGAGGCCACGCCGTCACTGTGTTGTGAGGATGAGAGGTTCTTTCATTCTCGGTGAATGAAAGAAGCGGGTCCCGAGGAGGACGGGCCCTGGATCCCAGGGCCTTCCATCAGGATCAGCTCCTCATCCTACGCCGTCCTCGGACCGTTCAATGGGCCCTCGGGAGGCCCAGAGGAAAGCCGAAATCGGCGAAAAGCAGCAGGAACCCTCAAGACCCGTTCCCAAATATGCGAGGCCCTGACGATTGAAAGAGGTGGTCCCCGGAAGTCCCGACCCGCCCCAGTCTCTCGCCCTGAGTCGCTGGCGCCTGGGAGCGCACGCCCGTCGGGCAAGGGTCAGGACGAGGGAGGTAGCGGGTGGACTGTCCTGGGGCCCGGCGAGGACCCCTAGGCTTAGGTCGGGCATGTCCCCCTACAGGCGAGTTCTGGACGAAAAACGAAACATACGCCCAAAAAATAAAAAAAAAAAACAGAAATAGTTAGTCAAAGCATCGTCCCCAGAGTATTTTTTGTTACTTTTGAACCTTCCTCCTGTAGAGGGACGTGCCCGACTTACCCCAGGCCCAAGACGAGGAACACCTCCGTCCTGATTCTTGTCAACGGCGCGAGCATGCCCGGTCAGGCTCAGGGCCCCGCTTCCCCCGTGGCGGTCGCCGTCTGGCCCGGGAAGTAGTACCGGACCTCGATGGCGCGCGCCAGGCACTCGCAGAAGTTCTGGCCGCAGGTGCGGAAGCAGGGGAGGCCCGCCACGTCGGAGCCCTGGCCCCCCTGCTTCGAGGGCAGCTCGCCCTTCCTGCGCCAGGGAGGCCCAGAGATCCAGCGCAGTGGGAAGCACAGGTGCTCTGCCTGTCGGCTGTTTTGCTGTTTTGGGGGGTTTTGTTCTTCGTCTTGGTGGCCTTTGGAAGCCCTCGCCGGGCCCTGGGGCCTCCAAAAAAACGAGTCGGGGTGAAACGCCAGTCCTGGGGAAGAAGAGTCGAGACTTGCGGGGGGGGTCGTATGAAAAAATCCAGACATCGGATCTCTGGGGAGATCCAAACACAGACACCGACCGACGAGCTCCCCCCTGTGCCTTCCGGGAGGGTGGCGCTGTACAGAGTCGTTGGCCCATGGTGGTGACTGCTACACCGCCGACCCCCCTCGGAGGCCCAGGAGCAATCCGCCGGGGGACGCCTGCGGAGCGACGAGACAGTACCGATGCCGCTGCTCTCCGGGCCTCTCCCGAGGCGCGCTCTGACCAGGATCTCCCGAGGCGACTCCAGACGCGGCGACCGGGGGAGAGAGGAGCAGCGGCAGCTTAGATGCTCAATCTGGGGACCTTCCTGGAGCCACTCGCTCCACTCGTGCGTCGAAGCTGCGTCGAACCTGAGTCGAACCTGAGTCGAACACGAGTCGAACCTGAGTCGAATCTAAGTCGAACCTGAGTCGAACCTGAGTCGAACTTGAGTCGAACCCGAGTCGAACAGATCCATCGAGCATCGAACAGCCCCCAGGAAGGTCCCCCAAACGAGCATCGAAGGCAGCGGTCCCTCCTCCTCTCCTGGGCCCGTGCGCCGATCTTTGCGGCGGAGCTCCTCGTCCGGGCACGCCGTGCTCCGGGCGTCGTGCGCACGGAGTCGTACACGCGCCTGTCCTGAAGAGGGCAGCGCCAGGCAAGGACCGGCTCAGCAGGGGGGGGGCAGCGGGCTGGACTGCTCGGCGAGGCCCTCGCTGACGGGTCGGCGGAGGGGCGCTCGATGGCGAAGGCCCGCACGTGCCTGGGCGGGAGGAGGAGCTACCGGGCCCCCTGTCGGCGATCATCAATGGGCGACTGCGGGGGTCGATGCGTCCCCCCTGAACCCGTCCCCTCCCCAGTGATTCACACATGCCATCGACGGCCCCGTCCCCCGGCCCCCCTTTGGAACAACTTAGAACTCGCTTGGAAAACTATGTCTCGGCCCATGCCCTCGCGCCGAGCGCGCCTTCAGTGGCGACACGCAGAGCGCACGTCCACTCCTGGCTGCGCGCACGCGGGAAGCTTTCCATTATCTCAACGCCGTTCACCCACCGATCACGTCCGTGCACCTTTCCCTGGTTGAACTCACTGCCCTTGTCGACGTGCTTTATTGCCGCGGAAGCAAGGTCCCTCGACCCCACGCCAGAGCCCACTTGAATACGGACTTTCCCAAACAGAACGGAAACGCATCCGAAACTCCTGCAGGCGATGTTCACATGTAACTCGTATTACGTGTGAGCGACAACTAAGATGCATCACAACTTCGTCTGAGGAAATACTCCAGATTTCGTAATAAAAGGAGGGGGGTCTCATTTCGGGGGGGGGGGTCCAAGCTATCTTGGAGGGCCTGGGGTGGTCTGGGGACGATGTTTTGGAGGGTTCTCCCACGAGGGGGGGTCTGAAATGGCTTGTCCTGGAGGGTCCAGACCCCCTCCCTTGTATTACGAAATCTGGAGTACACATGCAACTATGCAATAATATTGGATGTTTGTTCAAGGTTGTTTCCTCGGCAGGCCCGGCATGTGAAGAGAAGCCGTCGACCGCCGAGCGGCCCGGCGCGGGCAATGCGAGCAGCGGCGGTCATTACATCCGACGCCCCACTTCCTCGACCTAAGGGTTTCAGTGAGGTTGGCTCGCAACACGACCAGCGACTCACGAAAGAAAATAAAGACACGTGGAGATAAGAACACAAGGTCCACCAGCTTCGAATCAAGAGAAGGCGCGGGCATCAATGTGACAAGGTGATTGAACAAATTCGATGGGGGGAGGTGGGCCTCGGATCTGACTGGTGAGTGATCCTCGTCGTCTGGCTTTCGGATCATAAATCGGCTCTTTGGCGGCCATTCTGGACGATGCGGGCAACCCAGGCACGCTCTCGGCGAGGCGCAGCCGCTGGAGGGCAGCCCCCCAGGGCTGGAAAACTGACAAGGACGAACGACAGCGCCCGAAATACTGGAACCTCAAATGATCATGGGTCAGAGATCGATTCCTTGGGCGTGCTCTGGCTGGGGTTTCGGCACGGATCCAGCCGCGGCAGGACGACCCAAATCCGCCCGACCCCAAATTCCCAGGGGTGCAAAGGCGTGTGACATGATTGGCTGCCCCACTCGCGTCGGACCTCCGATTAGGAGGAGGGGAGAACGAGCTCCTCAACGCATCCCTTGGGCCTCCGGAGCCTCCAAATCGAAAGTCCGTGGCCTCCACGGCTCCCAAGATGCCATCCAAGCTCGCCCAAGCTGGGCTGCAATACGCCGAGGAGTCCTCAAAGACAACCGAGGTGGCCTCAAGAGTGCCCAAAAGGCCTCAAGGACGTCCACAGAGGGCTCCAAGACGACCCCCGAGTGGGCCCCAAGAAGCAAGAATCGTCCAACTCCCTAGGGAAAACGCTGGAGCCCCCAAGTGAGCCCCAAGATGGCCGAAGAGGGTCCCAAGACGGCCCGAGAGGCGCCCAAGATGGCCCCAACAGGGGCCCAATAGAGGCAACCCGAACCGACATTCCTGGCCCTTCGCCGCAAGAAGACCCCCGAGACCCACAGCAGCAGACCCCCAAGAAGCAGAGCCCCGGAGTGGCCCCCCCAACGAAGCCCAATGGAGGCCCCCCAGAAGCTCCCCCCAGGAGGCCTCCCCCGTGGACGTCCCTCCCTCTTCTGGGGGTCGGCGGCACGGCAGAAGCTAACCAGCCTCGAACTAATCCCTATCCCTAAGATGGGCGAGCAAAAAGGCGAGGACAATCTTAGAGACAGGCCCTCAGAAACTGAGGGAATCCTTAAGATCGGCATCGAGGTGAGGTGATGTCAAACATAGGGATAGGGATATGTTTCAAACTGATAAGAAGCCCCTGCGAATCTCTGGCAAGCGAGCCTCGACCCTCAAACCTGGAACCTCGGGGCCCATCCCCCGGAAAGTTGGCCCTGGACGTTCGGCAAAGGCAGCCCCTCAGCAGAACTCGGGGGCGGAAGCAGCCCCTCCGCAGCACTCCCTCTCGTGGAAGCTGGGAAGCTGCCAAGGGCACTCCGCGCGCGCACGGCACCGCATTCCGAGTGCGCCTCACCGGGGTAGCTGCCCAACGTCCTAGCACTCTTAAGTGCCCCGGTACGCAACACGTGCTGGATCGATACGGAGCTCAACACGTGGACTAGCCAACGACTGTCTGACGCGAGACGTTCGCCAAAGCGTGGGCGAATACGTTGAGCCAACATGGAGCGCACCAGGGAGCGCGCCCGTCGCACACTCCCGCACGAGGGGGTCCCCCCCTGAGCTACCCCTACCCCCCCCCCCCCCCGCCCCCCTCCCCCCTTGGAGACCTCCCCTGCTGGAACCCCCCCACACCTCCTTGTGCCCCGCTCCTCGGGAGCTACCCCCCCCCTCCCCTTTCGCGCTCCGGAAGCGGCCCCTCCCCCCTTGGCCAGAGGCGAGGGGGCTTAGCTACCCCCCTCTTCCTCGGCCCCTCCCCTGCCGAAAGCCCCCCCCCCCCCCAAACGTCCTTTTTGTCCGCCCCTCGGAAGCTGCCGCCGCCCCCCCCCCCCTCTCCTCTCGCGCTCCGAAAGCTATTTCCACCTTTTCGAAGGGGGGCTCAGCTCCCCCCCCCGTGAACCTCCCCTGCGGGAAACCTCCCCCTGCTATTTTCCGCCCCTCGGAAGCTAATTACCCTCCCCCTTTCGCGCTCCAGAAGCTGCCCGACCCCCCTTTCCAAAGGGGTGGGGGCATACCTACCCCGCCCCCCTTGGACCTTCCCTGCCGCCGGAAGCCCCCCCCCTCCTTTTCCCCCCCGCCGCTCGGAAGCTGCCCCCCTCCCCCCAAGAAGAGGCGCCGAAAACCAAACCTGGCACCAAAAATCAACGATGCGCCGAAAATCGACAGAGCGCCAAAAATCAAATGGGCGCCACAAACAGAGCGCCGCAAAGCAAACGGGTGCCGAAAACTGAAAGAGGGCCGAAAACCACGAGAGCGCCGAGGCACGCCGAAAACCAAAAGGACGATGCAAATCAACAGGTCGCCACACTCAAAGGGCGCGCAGAAAACCAAAGAGTCGCCGACCCAAAGGAGCGTCGAAAACCAAAGGAGCGCCGGGAACCAAAAAAGCGCCGGACACAAAAAACCGCAGAAAGCCAAAGGGGCGCCGAGAACCAGAAAGGTGCCGGATCCCCAAAGGAAGCCGAAAACCAAAGGGGAAAACCAACAAGGCAGCGAAAACAAAAAGGGCGACGAACACCAGAGCGGCGCCGAAAACCAAAGGGACGTCGAAAACCAAGAATGCGCCGACAACAACCAGAGCGCCGAAAACCAAAAGGGCGCCGAAAACCCAAAGAGCGCCGAAAAACAGACAGAAGCGCCGAAAACCAAAAGAATACAGAAAAAACAAGACGGCGCCGAAAACCACAAGGACGCAGAAAATCAAAGGAGCTTCGAAAATTAAATCAGCGCCGAGAATCAAGAGGGCGCAAAAAACCAAATGGACGCCGAAAACCAAAGGGGCGCCGAAAACCAGAAAAGGCGCCGAAAACTTGAGGGGCGACGACAACAAAAAACGCGCCGACAACCCATGGGGCGTCGACAACCACAAGGGCGCCGAAAACCAAAAGGGCGCCGAAAACCAGAAGAGCAACGAGAACTAAACGGGCGGCGAATACCAAAGAGGCGCAGAAAACCCAAGGGGGAGCGCTCCGATAATTAAAGGAGCGCCGAAAACCAAAAACAAAAAAAAAAAGGCGCCGAAGGCCAAAAAGGCGGGCGCCGAAACCAAAGGGGCGCCCAAAGCCAAAGAGCGCCGACAAACAACAGGGCACCGAAAACCAAAGGGGCGCCCACAACAAGGACGCCGAATATCAAGAGGGCGCCGAAAACCAAAAAAGCGCCGCAAACCAAAGGGCGCCAAAAACCAACAGAGCGCCGACAACCAAACGGGCGCCGACAACCAAAGGGGCACCGGAGACCAGAACGTGCCGAAGACCAAAGAGGCGCCGAACACAAAAGTTGCGCCAGAAACCAAAAGAGCGCCGAACACCAACAGGTCGCCGAATACCGACGCGTGCGCAGAAAACCAAAAAGGCGCTCTGAAAACTAACGGGACGCCCAAAAGAGCGCCGAAAAAACAAGATGGCGCCGAAAACCAAACAGACGCCGAAAACCCAAGGGGCGCCGAAAACTAAAGAAGCGCTGAAAACCAAAGAGGGATCGAAACCAAAGGGGCGCCGACAACCAAGAAGTCACCGAACGAAAAACCGAAGGGACGTCGAAAACCGAAGGGCACCGAAAACCAAAAGAGCGTCGCAGACCAGAGGGACGCCGAAAACCAGAAGGGCGCCGAAACCAAAAGGCGCCGAAAACCCAACACGCGCCGAAAAGCAACAATGCGCCGAAAACCACTGGGGCGTTGAAAACGGAGCGCCGAGAACCATAGGGGCGCCGAAATCACAAGGCGCCGAAAACCAAAGGGGCGCCGACACCAAAAGGACGCCGAAAACCAAAGGGGCGGCGAATACCAAAGGGGCGCTAAAAACCGACGGAGCGCCGAAAACCAAAGGAGGATCGAAACCGAAGAGGAACCGAAAATCAAAGGGGCTCGGAAAATCAAAAAGGGCTCCGAAAGCCAAAGGATCGCGGAAAAACCAAGAGGCGCCGACAACCAAAGGGGAACCGAAAACCAACAGGGCACCAAAAACCAAAGGGGCGCCGAATACCATCATCACCATCACCATCACGATTACCATCACCATCACCATAATCATCACCATCCTCATCTTCAGCGTCATCACTATCACCATCATCCTCCTCATTATCATCAGCATCACCATCATCATCACCACCATCATTCTTGTCATAATCACAATCCTCATCCTCATCCTCCTCATTATCCTCGTCCTCCTCAGCATCATCATCGTCATATTCTTCATCATCCTCATCATCATCATCGTCATCGTCATCGTCATCGTCATCATCATCAGCATCATCATCAGCATTACCATCGCCGCAGCCATTACCAGCATCATTATCATAAGATGTATCAGCCCAGCCTCTCATCTGCCTCTTCCTTCCCCTCCTCCTCCTCCTCCTCCTGCTTCCCTCCGCCCTGCCCCCAGGCGACCATGCCGACGAGGAACGACGACGGCGACGACGACAGCGGGCGGCTCGGATGCAGGGGGCATGTTGCCCTCACCATCCCCCCCCCCCCCCGCGGCACGCATTCTTACGCACAAGAGACTCGGCACCTGCAAGAGGGGTCCCTCGCCGGCGGCCCCGTCAGGGCCCCAAAACGCGTAAAAAAGCCACACGCGCTCCGCGCTCACTCACCGGGCGCAGGTTGGCCCCCCCTCCGTTGCCCCCCCTCCGCCCCTCCAGCACACGCAATGTCACATGCAAAGATCTCGCCGCTCCCAGAATGGTTCCGCCTGGGGCCCCGTGGACACGTGAAAGCACCTGCCCCGCGCGCGCGCGCCAGAGGCAGGTTGCGCCCATTTTCCCCCCCCCTCCTCCTCTTCCTCCTCCTCCTCCTCCTCCTCCCTCCTCCTCCTCTTTTCCTCCTCCTCCCTCCACCTCCTCCCTCCTCCTCCTCCTCCCTTCGCCTCCTCCTCCTCCTCCTCCTCCACGATTTTCACGTGTCAGAGGATCCACCCCCTGCAAATGGGGTGGGTCCCTCGCGTGCGGCCCCGTCGTGGCCCGAAGCGCTTGAGAACGCGTGCCCCGCGAGCACGCGCCAGGGGCACGCTTTGGGCCCCCCCCCCCTCCCTCCGCGCACACGCACTTCTGCGTGCCAAAGAGTCCGCCACCCGCAGGCTGGGTCCCTCGCTTGTGGCCCCGTGGTGGCCCGAAGCGCGTGAGATCACTTGCTCCGCGGGCGCGCGCCAGGCGCATGTCGGGTCCCGCCGCCTCCGTGCCCCCCCCCCCCCCCCCCCGCGCACGTAATCGCGCATGCAGGTCGTTCGCCACCCCCGGGGCCCCGTGGACACGCGAGAACACCTGCCCTGCGCGCACGCGCCAGGGACACGTATGGACCCCCCCCTCCGCGCACGTGTTCCTGTGTGTAAGACGCTCGCCACCTGCAGGGTGGGGCCCTCGCTGGCGGACCCGCCGTGGCCCGGAGCGCGTGGAAACACGTGCTCCGCGCGCACGCGCCGGGCGCATGTCGGGCCCCCTTCTGCAAAACCCGCGGGCTGCGATAGGAGGGGGGGGGGGCGGGGCGGGAGGCAGCTTCCGACGCGCCGCCCCCGCCCCCCCTTGCAAAGGCAAGCCTGGACGAACCTTCGGCCCCGGAAGAGACAACAAAAGGAATGCGCACCTGCACCTTTGAACCCCCCCCCCTGGCAACGCGATCCCAGCTGCGAAAAGAGCAAGGATGGGGGGGGGCGTCCGACGCCCCCCCCTTTGAAAGGAAACCCGGGCTGACCTTGGGCTCCGGAACAGCAGGAAGGGGGTGGCGTTGAAGACCCCCCCCTCTGGCAAGACAATCTCAGCTGCGAAAAAGAAGGGGGGGCAGCTTCCGACCACCCCCCCATCGAAAGGGAGGACGGGCCGCCCTTGGGCTCCAGAAGTGGAGGGAGGGGGGCGTCAGCTTTGAACCCCCCCCCCACCCTGGCAAGGCAATATGAGCTGCGAAAAAGAGGGGGGGGGGCGTAGCAGCCGAACTCTTTGAAATGGGAGCCCAGGCTGACATTGGGTTCCGGAACAGGAGGGGGAAGGGAACTCGGGCCCCCCTGGCTCCAACATGCCCACAAAAGGAAGGGAGGGGCGGGGTAGCTTCGGCAGCCCGCCCCCTTTTTCGAAGGAAAGGGGAGGGGAAGCTTCAAGCTGGGCCCCCCTTATAGTGAGAAGTGTGCGACGGGCGCGCGCTTTCGAACGCGTTGACGCGGACATTTTAAAGCACGGTACGTGTTGCGTTTCAAAATGGGCGTATGGAGGCAGCCAAGAAACGTATGTGTCCGGCAACAAACGCACGTCGATTAGCGAAACCGACTGGGGACAACACCGATACACTCGAATGCCAGTGACGCGTGAGACCGTGCAAAGGTTCGCCCTCGGCTTGTCCGAGGCGGTTCCTTCTGCCAATGCCCGAGGTGTCCTCGTCTGGGAACCGCGAAAGCACCGCCGCGAACGCTGCCCGCGAGACCGTGAGCAGCACCGCGAGGGGCGTGGCGACGCGCACGGTCGAGTGGCTCACGGGCTCGAAGCCGAGGAGCGCGCGCTCCCCAAAGCAAGTGCCCCTGCGGGCGACGCCCACCTCGCCGCAGTCCTCGCCGGGGTCGGACTCACGTAGACCCAGGAGGAGGAGGACGTGGAGGAGGAGGAGGAGGAGGAGGAGGATAACAAGGAGGAGGAGGAGAAGGAGGAGGAGGTACAGCAAAAGGAGGAGGACGAGAAGGCGGTGGTGGAAGGGGATAAGGAAGGAAGAGGATGACGAGGATAAGTTGGAGGAGGAAGAGGAGGACGCCCAGGTCGAGGAGGAGGAGGAGAGGAGGAGGAACAAGAGGAAGAGGACGAGGAGAAGCTCGCCGCAGTCCTCCCGGTGTCGGACGAAAAAGAACCTTGAGATCCTGGCGCCGCAATCCTTTTCACCCGATCCTGGCCGGGCCGATCGTGGGAGTCGGACTGGTGGCTAATAGTGATGGTGTTGCTGATGTTGATGACGGTGTTGATGTTGGTGGCGATGCTGATGTTGCTTATGATGATGTTTATGGTGAAGATGGGGAGGAGGATGAGGATGAGGATGAGGATGAAGATGAGTATGACGATGACGATGATGATGATGACGCTGATGATGCTGATGCTGATGATGAGGCTGATGGTGATGATGTTGGTGATGATGTTGCGCCGATGTTGGGAGTGGAACTGGTGGCCACGGCCTCGTGGTCTGCGCAGCCAGGGAAGGATTTGCTCAGATCCAAGGCCTACGAGTGGCCTGGCCAGAACCGGTGCAGGCGGCCAGGTGGCGTCGCAACCATCGCTCGGACGTCCATTCCCCGTGGATGCTTCCGTTTCGAAGATATCTATATATGTACGTATGTATATATATATATATGGTGAACCCCTATCCTTACGTGAAGCCCTATCCTTACGTTCAATATATTTCTCATTTCGCTTCAGTTCCTTCTCCTGTCCCGCCTCCTGCTCAGATTCCTGTTCAATTCCTCTTTCCTCCTCCTCCTCCTCGTTCTCCGCCTCCCCCTCCTGCTCCCCCTCCGCCTCCTCCTCATCATCCTCCCCCTTCTCCTGTTCCTCTTGCTTCTCCCCCAAAAAGGCCTACGGGAGAAGAGCTGCCACGAAACCTTGCCATTCACAGGTTGTTTTTTGTGTGGGGGGGGTCAATGATACCACGAAGCACCTGCTATTCACAAAGTGTGTTTTGTTTTTCGGGTTTTCAAAAGTCTGCGAACTTCGCCCGGAGGCTGGTGGACGGTGTAAACATTGTTTTTTTGTTTTTCACTGGGACCCCCCCCAAAAAAAAACATATGAATCGCATAATTTTCTCGCCACCAAGCCACCAAACACCGTTATTCACATGTTTTTTGTGTGGCTCCCGCTAACCCCCCCCCGATAAAAACTTGTGAATAGCATGGCTTCCTCGCCATCAGGCCACCAAACTCAGCTACTCACAAGTTTTTCTGTTGTTCTTCGGCACCGACAATCGCCGGCGAAGTTCGCAGACCTCTGTAAGAAAAGCAAAAAAAGAAAGTGAATAGCAGTGTTTCGTGGTATCACTGACCAAAAAACAAAAAACTGTGAGCATGGTTTTGTGGCCCTGCAGTTCCTCCTCCTCCTCCTCCTCCTCCCCTCATTCCTCCTCCTTACGTTCGTATTCCTCCTCCTTCTCCTGGACCTTCTCCTCTGCGCGTTGTTCTTGTCCCTCCTCCTTCTCCTCCTCTTCCTCTTCCTCCTCCTCCTAGTCCGACCCCTCGTCTTCTTACTCCTCCCATGCTCCTCCTTTTCGTCCTCCGCCTGCCTACTTCTCCTCCGCATTCTTCCCCGAATCATCGCGTAAAACATCTGTTAGAAGACGGCGTTGCTCCTGCCGGCCGAAGGCGCAACATATGTCACGACCTATGGGGCACGGCTGCAAGCTCAGCCGCTGATGGCGCAACTAATATTGCAACCGAGAGGAGAATATTGCACTCTCGGCCGCCGAGGGCGCAACCTATGGCGCAACTAATCGGAAGCGTTTGCATTCTCGGTCGCCGAGGGCGCCACTGCCATGACGTAGCTGGTCCCCCTGCCGCGTAACATTGTTACTGCTCGGGGCCGCCTGGGGCCATCTAGGAGTCCTCTCGGGCCGTCTTGGAGGGCGGTCTTGAAAGCTCATCGGGTCGTCTTGGCGCGGCCTTGCACAAGGGGGCGGTGGCCTCGTCGGCCGTCTCTCAGACCTCTGGAATGGGGGCATCCGAACTAGGATGCCCCTGCTTAAGTTTTCGCTGTCGTTGTATAGTATTGTTGTCCCCTGGTTTGCTATTTCGCCGCGCCCTGCCTCGTCGCGCTGTTGCTGCTCGGGGCCGTCTAGGCGCCGTCTTGGAGGCCTTTTGGGCCGTCTTGAGAATGGGTGTGGTCTTGGAAGCTCCTCGGGTCGTCTCGCTGCGGTCTTTCGAAAGGGGGCGGTGGCCTTGTCTGCCGTCTCCGAAACCTCTGGAGGGGGGCGTCAAAACTAGGATGCCCCCCATCGCTTCACTGGGTATGGCCGCAGCGGCTGTCTTTTGGGGTCTGCTCGTTTTGTCGCCTCGCAACCGAATTCGGCATTGGCGGCGGCAGCCCGCCTACTGGGCGCCAAAGCGCCCGCCACGGATGGCCCTCCGAGTCTTCTCTGCGAGCTCGAGGCACTTCTCCCGCCGCGCGCCCGTTGCCAGAGAGCAGGAGCGGCACCTCTCCGACAAAAGCTTGTCGCACTTTGCCTGCGATTTCGGAGAGGGGCCCTTGGTCGTGGAGGGCGGCCTGAAGGCCGACGGACTTTGCCACGCCCTCCCCGGAGCGCGCCTGGGCGGGCGCCGAAGTTCGTCTGCCGTCAAAGGCTTAGTTGTTCAAGAGCCAAGCCTTCTTCTCCGAAAGGGCTTGCTGAAGGCGCTCGCGCTCCTTCGCCCCCTCGTTCGTGGCCGCGGCCGCGCCCTCCTCCATGCCCCGGGCCGTCGCCCTCTGCGCCTGCCGCCTTCTTGCGGCGAGGCGCCGAACAAGAAGCAAGCGGAACAAGGGCTGGCCCGGCGGGGAAAGCGCTCCCGAGGGGGCGCGCGCGCGACCTCCAAGAGGCCTAAGAGCGCCCCCCTATCGCAGGCAGTTTTTGGGGCAGAAGCTTGTTTCCTAGTTTTGAAGAGGCCAGCCCTTGCTCGCTTCGTTCGGGCGCGCCGCCGTGTCTCAGGCGCGCCGTTTCCTCAACCAGGTGCTCCAGCTTGTCGTTATTGTTCTTGGCCTCCTGGAAAGCCTCATGGTTGTTGTCGGCCGCGCGCTGGGTGGGGTTCTGTTCCGCGTTGCATCGTTGTGGTTCGATACTTGCTGCTCAATTGGTGATGTTGGCGCTGCTGTTGGTGGTGCTGGCGCTGCTGCTGAGCGTTGGTTGGGCCGGTTTGCGCTGATGGCGGTTTGCGGTTGTTGCGCGGGGGTGGCGCGGTGCGTGCAGTTGCACAATGTCGTTGTTTTCCTGTTCGGTTGATTGGGTTCACCCCGGCACCTGGGTCACGAACGCGTCGGGGCGCATGAAGAACTTGCGCTGGCGCTTGACCTGCTGTGTGAGGGTGTCCTTGTCGCGCCCCAGGGTTGCGAGCGTGCTGCGGTACTAGCGCAGGTGCTTCTGCGCAGCCTCCTTGAGGAACTCCTACACCCAAGGTTTTGCGACCCAATTATTCAACGATTTGTTGCGCTTGCGGTCGCGGCACCTCTCCGTCTTCGTATTGATGGCCTTCTTTGACGAAGCTGGCATGGCGCCGTGCGGCGCCAGCGCTGGGGGGGGAGAAAGCCAAATATTACAACAAAAACAATAAAAGCTCGATTCATAGCAAACTACGGATGGTTGCAACCAATTTGGCTGAAGCGGAAAAAGAAGAGACGGATGACGATGACGAGGCGGGCACGGAACGCGAGGAAGAGGAAGAGGATGAGTGACGCGAGGAAGGCGAGGAAGAGAGGAACGAAGAAGGAGGAAGTAGAAGGAAGAGGACGAGGAAGAGGAAGGAACAGCAGAGGATCACATGAGGAGGAGGAGGAGGAGGAGAAGAAGCAGGACGAGCAGGAAGAGGATCGTTTGAACGATCGCTCGCCGTTGGGACCCATTGGAATGCAATCGGTTGGCAATCAATCGATTGGCTTGCGACCCATTGGGCTGTAATCGGTTAGGTTGCAACCGACTGCGTCGAAATAAACGTGCCAGAACTCGATTGTATTGCAATCCATTGGCTTGCAATCGTAGCCAAGCTAGCTGTCAAGCTGACGCCCTCGTGGCCAGTCGGCGAGGAGGCTGAGACGGAGAAGTAAGAAGATGAGGATGATGAGGGCGATGAAGATGAGGAGGAGGGCGGAGGATGAAGAGGAGGCAAATGAGGAAGAAAAGGAAAATGAGGAGGTGGGCGAGCAGGGCGAGGATGGGGAGCAGAAGGGGGAGGATGATCATCGGAACGATCACTCGCTATCGGGGCGCGGTGATTTATGGTCTCTGGGTCCCTCCTCCGCTTCCTCGAACTCCTGCGCCGCACCCTTCGCCAACAAGGCTTGCGGGAGGATGGTCAACAAATCATGCTGGAAAACAGTGAGGGTGATGAGGAGGAGGAGGACGAGGAAGAGGAGAGGAAGCAGGGTGAGAGGTAGAAGGAGGAAGGAGGAGGAGGAGGAGGAGGAGGAGGAGGAGGAGGAGGAGGAGAGGGGAGGAGGAGGAGGAGGAGGAGGATGAAAACGACGACGACGAAGAGGAGAGGGAGCAGGGTGAGGGGCAGGAGGAAGAGGAGGCGGGCTATGAGGGGGAGGAGGGATGGCTTGGGGTAGGGACGCTGAACTTTGGTTGGCGAGGAGGCTGAGGCGGAGGAACAGGAGGATCAGGATGACGAGGTCAAGGACGAGGAAAAGGAGATGGAGAAGGAGGGGTCGGAGGAGAAGGTGGAGGAGGAGAAGGAGTGATCGCTCGCTGGAGGACGGGGTGCTGGGGGGGGCTGATCATCTATATATGTATATATATATGCGTGTGTAAATTAAATATGTATATATATACATATATACAAATATATATATATATATATATATATATAAATAAATCTACACATTTACATATGTGTATAGACATATGTGTATAGTTATGTGAATGTACGTATTGCTCGGTCCAATATGCTCCAAGATGCTTCAAGTGTTTTGGCGCTAACCTCTCCGAACAATAAGCTACACGTCCACGCGATCCCTTAGCGTCCACCGTGAGGTGGTAGGGAGGAACGGGTCTTGGCGTCTTTTGGCCGGACGAAATTATTACGGTCAGGAACTTCTGTTTAGCGTGTCGCCGCGGCGGCCCCGCCGACATGCTGCGCCCTGCGAGCGGACATGGCGTGTCGCGCCACACTGCAGGGCTGGAGGCTCGGAAAGGCTTGGGCCTTGATGTCTGGGGACGGGGACGTGGTTCATTGTTTTGCCGATCGGCGCGGGCCCTCGCACCCCCCCTCCCGCCCCCCATGGGATAGAGCTTGGCTGTTTTTGGCGCCTGTTTCGAGCAGATGGAGTCTGCCAGTTCCGCACTAAGCAGTGGTCCGGAACCAGACCCCCGCTTCCCTCCCCCCCTTCCGCCCAATGTCGAAACGCCTAATGGGAAAACGCTTACTTAGCGCGTCGCGCTAAAGCGTGGTGGGCCAGAACTAGCGGAGCGACACGCTGGCGGATCGATGCGGCTCGAGGAACATGCCGCAGAAAGAGGGGGGCCGATTATCAGGCTCTGGTCGTGATCTCTTTCCCAGGTAGGCCTGCCTAAGGCATTCTCACTTGGTTGCAATAACGGAGCCTCGGGGGCTTACTTTGCCCTTTGCTCGGGGACTCCCGGGGTTCCTTGGGTTCCTCGGGTTCCCCGTCCTCCGTGCCTCGGGGGCGTACTTTGCCCGTTGCTCGGAGGTTCCTCGGAGATTCCTCGCCCTTGGTGCCTCGGGGGCTTACTCTGCCCGGTGCTCGGAGGTTCCCCGGGTTCCTCGTGCTCCACGGGTTCCTCGCTCTCGGTGCCTCCGATTCTGCTGCTGCCCGTTGCTGGGAGGTTCCCAGGGCTCCTCGGGCTCCTCAGGTTCCCCGCCCCCGGTGCCTCCTATTGTTACGTTTCCCGTTTCCCAGAGGTTCCTTGGGTTCCCCAGGTTCCTCGGGTTCTTCAGGTTCCCCGCCCCTGGTGTCTCGTATTGTTACGTTGCCCGTTCTTCGGAGGTTCCTCGGGCTCCTCGGGTTCCCTGGGTTCCTCGGGTTCACTGCCCCCGGTTGCCCAAAGAAATGGCAAGCAATGCCAAGCAATGCTGAGCAATGCCAAAGCATGATAAGACAAAGCAAAGCGATGCGCCACGCGATGCGCCCAGGCAATATGCTTTCCCCTTAACTGGGGTATCGACGACTTCACTTGTACAACGTTTCATTTCAACTTTGTCGCAACGTCGGATCTCAGGAGAAGGACGCGGAGGAAGAGGATGAGGAGGAGGAGGAGGAGGAGGAGGAGGAGGAGGAGTGCGGAGGAGGAGGAGGAGGAGGAGGAGGAGGAGGAGGGGGAGGGGAGGGGGAGGGGAGGAGGAGGAGAAGAGAAGGAGGAGGAGAATGAAGGAGGTGGGAGGAGGACGAGGAGGATGAGGAAGTGGAGGAGGGCGAGGAGGAGGAGGAGGAGGAGGCGAGGAGGAGGAGGACAAGGAGGAGGAGGAGGAGGAGGAGGACGCCCAGGTTGTGTGGTGGAGGAGGAGGAGGAGGAGGAGGAGGAGGAGGAGGAGGAGGAGGAGGAGAAAAGGGAGGAGGAGGAGGAGGAGTGCGGGTAGCCTGAGGAGGAGGAGGTGGAGGAGGAGGAGGAGAAGGAGAGAGAGGTTAGCGCATCGGCTCACGTAGCCGATGTTCCTGGCACCCCTGGGCGCCGAGAGGCGCCAACGGTATCGAGGCGAAGCTCCTGGCGGCGGCCGCCGAGCCGCCGAGACCGGCCACCCGCAGCAGATGTCGTCGTTGCCCCCCTGTCCATACCCGGCGATCCGGTGCCTTGACTTCTCTGGTGCGGGGTCTCCCGAGGCCCCGACCCGCTCCCCAGGACTGGTGCTCTGCCCCGAGCCGTTCTGACTGACTGCCCCGGGGCCCGGCGAGGGCCCTCGGAGGCCGCAAGCGGGCCACAAGCGTGCGTCGCGACTTGGTCGTGGCGCGAGCAGGTCTGGGCCTCCCCCCCCCCTTCCTCGGGCCCGGTCCTCCCGGGAGACGCCACAGAGCCCGAACTCGACGATGCAAAGCGCGGCGTCGCCGCGGCCCTCCTCCTTGACCACCTCGCCGCAGTACAGCACGCGCCGCTCCGAGGCGTTCGCGACCGCGCGGACGAAGTTGAGCGAGGACCGAGCGAAGAGCCTGGGGCAGGATGACCCAACGACGAATAGAACATCGAATCGGCCATCGAAGTGCAACGAATCAATCAGCAAACATATCGGAAAGCATCGGAATCGAACCGACGTTCGCCCTCCCAACATTCATACGCGAAGAAATCCAAACCACAGTCGGAGTCCAGAGTCGGATCCGATCGAAATCGGAAGCCTCGAAACCAATCGATTCGAATCGGCGGACTCGAAGCCGCTCCTGCTGGGACTGGCTCAAAGTTCGAAGTACACACCAGGTCGTCCGGTCGGCCAATGCTTTTCTTGAGCAGGGACCGGCCGTCCCGGCATTCCGACAGTCCTGCCACGAAATGTTCTCAGAACCCAAAAACGTTCTAAGAAGGAAAACAGAGCTCTTAGAACAGAAGCCCGATGTGACAACAAAAACAGACTCCGCCAGAAATGCTCTGAGAACATGCCGTGGAAGCCACAACAGGCTTTTAGAACATTGTGTCTGGCAGGGCTACAGGCGAGCCAGGACGCGTCTCCACCGCTTGATTTTCAATCGGGGCATCCTTCCGCGGATTCGACACCTCCGGGATGAGAAACTACCCCGGGGGGAGGGGCCGAGACCTCAAAGGGACCGCGGGCTGCTGCGTCCAAAATGCACAGGAACTGCTGCTGGGCATCGTACGCATCCTTCCCGTATCCCTCTCGTTCGTGCCGATATGTGGGGCACCGGGACGCGCAAACACCGAATTGGGGGAACCATCAGATACCGATACCGCTACGCCTCCCCGGGGCGCTCGTTCTGACCAGGATCTGGAGGAGAAGCCATTCGCGGCGACGAGGGCCCTCCAGGACGAGCAGCGGTATACCGGCGGTGGGTAACTTTGTCCCCTGTGACACGTCCTTCGCCGAGCTCAGGGGTAAGGGGGATATGTTGACCCCTATCCGTACTTCGTCGGGGTCTCGAACGACAAACACATCAGGCCCAAACTCGGGGATACAGGGCGGGGGGGCTTCTATCCTAGATAGGGGTGCGTCGGAACAGCCCCATAGGGGTGTATCCCCGAGTTCGCCCCCTCTTCTGAGCTGTCTCACCTCTCGGGCGAAACTCAGGATTGGGGGCCAGAAATCGCCTGTGACTAGGCTCCTCGGCTGACCAAACGACGTGGTGTGTTAGAGGCGGCCGGGGGGTCTACGGGGGGTGAAGCCCAGCCCGCTCAAAATCGGTCCTTGGACCCCCTCCCGGGGTCCACCTGGTGAAGTTATTCACCCCAGATCCGCGTCTCACGGCCCCAAAGCCTGACATCGGCCGCCAGACCCAGAACCTCAAACCTGCCCCCCCTTCCTGCTGGCCGGAGACAATGCTGGGCCACCTCAGACCCCAGCCGGCTCTAAGCGGTGTGCACGCATCGAGGCCCAGCCGAGGGCCTCTGCATCGAGAGCACCTCCGTGTGCGCCTGCAGGCTCGGCTGCAGCACCGCGGCGCTTCCGCGGACCCCCGCGTGCAGGCAGGCCAGGCAGCCTGGGAACCGGCGCAAGGCCGCCAGGAAGGCCTCACCGGGAATGACGGTCGGAGGAGCGCCAGTTGTAGAAGAAAAACGCCATAAACATAATCTTTTGGCGCTCCGCACGGATTTCTTGGATCTGCGCTGGGCCCCCTCCCTGGCGCGCGGAGCGCGCCAAGCGGCGCCTGAGGCGCCGCCAGGCGGGCCCAGCGCGGATCCAAGAAAACCGCACGGAGCGCCACAAGTTTATGTTTATGGCGTTTTCTTCTCCGAAGCTGGGATCACGGCGGCCCTCCCCACCGTTTCTCGTCCCTCTTGGGCCTGAGGGTCAACGATAGGCGGGACCTGGCGCAGGGGGGGCGGAAGCACCGACCTGGAGTGGGCGATACATCGCCGATGGATCGGCGAGGGCGGCCCTGGCGGGATCCGAGCGGTCCTGGGCGGGGTGGCCCAGCGTCGCCTTCGGGCCCGCATCGGCGATCAATGGGCGATCGGGGTCAATGTATCCTCCCCCCCACGAGCCTAGTCTACTGACGTTGCCCCTGGGGGCGCTTCTCATCCTTCCTGGCCATCCTAAAGGCTTCACGTCGTTGCGGCCAGATGCGCCCCGAAAAAAGCTGGTCAGGGGGGTGCCCAGGCATGCGAAATCCTGATTTGTTCCATGCGGGGTCCCTGGATGTCCCGACCCTTTCCCTGGGACCGGTTTTTCATCCTGAGTTGTTCTTTGACGGTCCCGAGGCCCGGCGAGGGCCCCACAAGGCCGAAAACGACCGAAAACCCGCCGTCCTGATTTTTTTACGACGCGATATTTGAAGGGGCCCCAGGACACACACATAAATACACACAAATGAAAACATTCCCCATATTTTCCCATATTTTCTGGGTTTCTGTCTTCCCCCCACTCCCCATATTTTCCTATGTTTTCTGGGGAATCGAAGATTAATTGTGTCTGCGTGTTTCTTTTCCTCCTGAATATGATCTGGGTGGACATCCTCTGGAGGGGTCCGTGGGCGGACCTTGCCCGGAGCTCGGCCGGGCGGGGGATCCGTCGCTGCCACCACTGGCCCTCCTCCGAGCTGAGGGCGGTGACCGCCGTCTTGGCGCGGACGGTGGCCGGCCGGGGGATGCCGGAGCCGATGGTCGGCGGCGAGCAAGGGGGGGAAACACGAAGGAGAAAGGCCTTCTCAGAAGGCGGCGGGACTTCTCAGAGGCCCTCGCGTCTTCTGAGAGGGGTTCGGCGTCCCCGGGGGAGGCTCAAACAAAACTCCGCGCAAGGCCCACGGGGACGTCTGAGCTTCCTGCGAGGGCCGTCTCCTTCGTACCTCGCCCCCGGGCTCGCCGCCGCGCTGAAGCAGACATCCCCGACGATGGCCCCGGGGAGCAGCGAGCCCAGGGTGGCCACGCTCGTGCCCTGGCCGTCCGCGCTCGGCACGCACTTCTCGACCGCGGCCTCCCCGGAGTCCAGCACCAGGAGGGCCTCGGCCGCGTCCCCGGCCTCGCCCTCCGTCACGAGCTTGTGCCCCGGGCCCACGCGGTGCACCTGCGCGGACTCCACCAGGGAGAACAGCGCGTCTGGCGGGGCCCCTGGAAGGACCTGAGGGGGGGGCCCAACACCGCCACTCCCGGGGCCTCTCCCGGGGCTAATTCTGACCAGGATTTCGAAGCGAAGCCAGCCGCGGCGACGAGGGCCTCCCGGGAGTTCCCAAAAGGCTCAAACGAGGAAGATATGATGTAACGGTATCGGTTCCTCGCCCTCCCCTGAGAACCTGCCGCTGGAGAGCGATGGACCACCTCTCCAGCAAGGACTCCCTGTTGGCCGCGAACAGCGCCTGCGACGTGGACGAGGCCACAGCCTCTGGGGAAACCAAACATGGTTCCTCCCCGGACCACTCCAAGGGTGCGCTTTGACCAGCATTTTTCGGGGCGAATCCGGCGACGGCGACGAGGGCCTCCCAGGAGGCCCGAGAGGGGGAAACGAGGGAAGGCTGTAGCAGTCTGGGTGCCCTCCCTCCTCCTCCTTCTCCTCCTCCTCCTCCTGCTCCTCCTCCTCCTCCTCCCTCCTCCCTCCTCCCTCCTCCCTCCTCCCTCCACAATTACTCAACATGAAAATACTCTCCCTCTTCCCCTGATGGCGTCCGGGTGATGGCCGCGCATTCTCCGCGTACTGTTTCTTTACACTCAGGATGCCCGGGAAATCCCGGGAAACGACTCTCGCTGAGGCGCCGGCGTCATTATCGGGCCGAACGCCCCCCGCGTACTGTTTTTTAACACACAGGATTCCCGGGAAGCAGGTTTTCGCCTGCGTTTTTTTGGTTAATGATGCTCTCGCTGAGGCGCTGGCCTCATTTCTGCTCCCGAATCGTTCCGAATCGTGCTCCCGCTGCAGCGTGGGCCTCATTTTCGGATCGGTGTTTGGCCTCCGTCGTTCAGGATGGCGTTCTCGCCCCAGCGCGGGCCTCTTTCTCGCGCGCCCATCCGCCCGCCACCACCGCGCCGCACCACCACCACCACCACCACCACCACCACCACCACCACCACCACCACCACCACACCACCACCACCACCACCACCACCACCACCACCATCACAACCACCACCAGCACCAGCACCACCACCAGCACGAGCACCAGCACCACCACCAGCACCACAGCACCACCACAACCACACCACCACCACCACAACCACGCACACACGCACGCACGCACGCACGTGCACCACCACCCACTACGCACGCGCGCGCGGAGCCACAGGTCCGCTACGACACGCGTCCGCGGATAGAGAAAATCAGCGCCATGGTAAGGGATGGGAGGGAGGGGTAGGACGTCAGATATGACGCGAGCGCACCTAGCTTGTCCCCCTCCTCCTCCCTCCTCCTCCTCCTCCCTCCTCCCTCCCCCCCTCCTCCCCCCGAGCCTCTGCCACGTCGCCCAGCGACACGCCCGCGAGCCAAGCGCCGCCCGCCCCGCGCTGCGGCGGCGCGCCCGCCTCCGGCAGGCCCGGCTCCGGCGCGTCGGAGGCCTCGCCCTCCGCCCGCCGCGGCGCGGCGCCGGAGACCGCCAGCCTCCATGCGGCAGCTCAATGCGGGCAACAGTTATACAGTAAAGGCCCGACCACAAGAAACCTTCCACAAGAAACCCAACCCCTGAGACCCCAGGGCGCCCGTCGATTTGTGGTGTGGGGACGTCGCGCCTCCCATGGCAAAACAATCGAAACCCAAGAAACCCAGGGCACCCTGGAGACAAGCAGGGTGTTTCTTGGCATGGGTCCCCACGATATCCACATCCAGTGCGTCTTGGAGTCTTGGGCTCTCTTGCCCAGAAACCGTAGACGCACTGGGTATGGATAAACATCTGGCCCCAAGAGGCTTGATGTCATCCATATCCAGTGCGCCGCGGCGTTGCGGCACCTCTTCCCGAAAAGTCCAAGACGCTCTGATTATGGATATAAGTACTGCACGCACTCAAGGCCCAGGCAGGATCGCGTCGTAAGAAAAAAAATCAGGACGGGAGGTGTTTGGCGATGTTCGGCCTCGGGGGGCCCTCGCCGGGCCTCGGGACCGCCAAAAAACGGCTCGGGATGAAAAGCCGGTCCCGGGGCACGGGTCGGGACTTCTGGGGACCCGGTCCTGAACAAATCAGGGCGTCGCATGTCTGGGGGGAGCCTCGACGATCTCTCGAGAGGGGTGTCGAAATCGATGGGTCCCCCAGGGGGGTAAGGACCACAGCTCCCCCAGTTGTGGCTGGCCTGTCACGGGAGCCTCCCATCGACGCTCATCGACGCTAAATCGACGCTAAGTCGGCACTGAACCAGCGACGTCTCACCGATCACAGGACGATGCCGCACTCGAAGGCAATCCGAAGACGCACTTGCGAGAGCACGCGAGGCCCCCATGACTTGCTCCAGCGAACCAGCCTCAGCGTGTCCAGGGCCCTCTGCCCGGCGCCCCTGGAGCTGGCCGCGGCGAACGCCTGCGAGCACAAGGCGCGAACGCAGCCCGACTCGGCCGCGAGCGTCTCCTGTGCGCCGCCAGGATCTCGCCCACGTCCACCGCCGCTGGGTCGTGCTCCGAGGACTCGGGGAGCAGTTGAGACGTGGGCAGACATCTGCCCGCCCACGCGGGAGGGCAGATGTACATGATGCCCGTGACGCCTCGAGGTCTCAGGGCACGACCCCGCAGTGGTGGCTGTAGCCATGTGCCCATTCGCCTGCTGACGGGGGTCAGATTTCTGGGGGGCAAAGTCGGCGAAGGGCACACTAACGAAACAACAACCATGTTCTCAAACACATATCGACCCGGGCCAAACACAATCAAACAGAACTGCCAGGGAAGAGGCAGGGAACCCATAGCTTGTGTGACAATTGCGGCCCCGAACAGGGAGATGCCAGGACCTGAGCCTACCTCTCCCCGACCCCCAAGAAGCTGACCCCCATTAATGACTCCAAATCCTTTCTTAATCGTCCCTTTCAAAGGGCGCCTTTTTCATAACTGGGGGGGTCCGGTTTAGGGTATAGAATACCAGGTCGCATTTGGAAGGGGGGTCTGGTTTCTTGGGGGGGGTCGCTTAAGAAGGGATTTGGAGTAGCAGGCGAAGGATGTGCCGGCCGTGGGTCCTGGCCCACCTCGCCATCCGGCGCGGCGGGCCGGTACCACTGGGCGCACTCCGCGCGCCCTCGCCGGGCCTCCGGCAGGCTGCCCAGCAGCCGGCAGGCGCCCAGCACCGTGCGCGGGCCGAGCCGGGCCGCGCGGCCGGGGCCCACGCGCGCCTCCAGCGCCCCCGAGACGACGACCCAGACGCGTCCGTCTGGAGGATCGGGTCGGGCGAAAGGGGGGGATAGCAACGGGGGGGTTCGAGAATCAGCTCACGCAGCTGATTTTCCCGGCGCCTCCTGGCGCCGGAGGCGGCCATGTATCGAGGAATGGGCCCCTCGGTGAGGCTGAAACCAGCTGCATGCAGCAGATTTCGTAACCCCCCCTTTCCCAATCCCCCCCTTTCGCCCGGCCCGAGAGGAAGAGAGCCCTGACCTTCCACAGCGCTACACAACAGCACCCCAGACCTCTAGACCTACGTGGACGGCTTTTCACTCCTCGGCTGGGACGTGGACGCCGATGTCCTGATGCTATCCTTGTTAGCCCTGCTGGAAAGTCAGGGAAGGGCGCAACCATACACTTCTCGACCTCGGCGCGGATACCTTGGCGCTGGGCCCCCCTCCCCAGCGCGCGGAACGCGCCAGGGGCGGCGCCGGAGGCGCCCTCAAGGGGGGCCCAGCGCCGATCCGAGAAATCCGCGAGGAATTCTGGAAGCTGTTACTATTTCTCCTCCGACCTTCGGCTGCGACGTCGAGCTCGGCGCCGTGCCCCAGCCTGACGCCGCGGGCCCGGCGCGCGATGCTCTGGACGACCTCTGGTTCGCACCGCGCGAACAACGGGGACGCGGCCAGCTCGGAGCGCACGAGCTCTCTCGCCGCGGCCTCGCCCCCAACGGCCTGGTCCCACTCACCCGACACCTGCGTGCCGCCCGCGGCGCCGTCCGTGTCCGTGTCCGTGTCCGTGTCCGTGTCTGTGTCCGTGTCCGTGTCTGCCTCTACGCCACGAAAATATGCACACGGACACCCTCCGACAAACTTTGCACGCACTTTGAGGGAGGGCGGCGGTGTACCAAGTCGCTGGCTCCCAGTGGTGATCTATACACGGCCACCCTTCCCTGAGGCCCAGAGGCAATCTGCTGGAGGGTGTCTGTGTATCTTTGCTGGTGGCGGAGCCTCCAGCGGCTTCTGCTTCGCCCCCGGAGCGGCCGCAGCACCGCCGCGCTGCAGCAGCGTGGGCAGGGCGCCCGCAGCAAGGTGCATGTGCCTCTCAAGGGGCCCTGGGACACACACATAAATGCACACAAATAACAGGATTCCCTATATTTTCCAGTATTTTCTGGGTTTCTGTCTTCCCCCCATTTCCCATATGTTCCCATTTTGTCTTGGGGATCAAGGATTAATCGTGTCTGTGTGTTTCTTTTCCCTCCTGAGCCTCGCCAGGGCGCAGAGGCCTGCGGAGCGCCTACGGGCACAGGGCGGAGAGCATGCGGGCCAAGGCCGGGGCGGCGCGCGAAAGGGGGAGTGCGGCGCGCTCGAGCCGGCCTGCGGACCCCCCCACGGCCGGCGCTCCTGCCTCGGCGACCCGTGCCTCGCGAGCATACCCGTGTGCACGGCCCCGCAGGCCGGGTCGCTGGGCCGCGACACCGTGAGTACGCGGCGGCTTTCCGCGGACGCCCTGCGCCGAACCTATCCGTACGACCGGAATCCAGGCCGCGAGGGCGTGGTTTTGGCGTGTCGTTTGCCGCCCCTGGCTTCTGGCACCGCTGGAGCCCGCCAACCTCGGAGGCCCCCAGGAAGCCTTCGCCCCCACCTCTGGTGGGTGCTTTGCGCCGCAGGCTGAGCTCATCTTCTGCTAGAAATGCATTCACAGAAACGTTTTGCCGTCCCCATGGCGCCGAATGGCGCGCCAGATCGCGAGCAAAGCGGACATGATGCATCTCCCTCACATGGCGATATTGGGCGCTATTGGCCGCCATTGGGCGACATTCGAGCGCCGATAGAGCGCTACCCGGTGCTACTTGGCGCCATCGAGTGCTCCTAAGCGCTTTTTGTTGATATGCGCTCAACCCAAGACGAGCGGAAACATTCGTGGGTTACTACAGTCGGCCTTGATTGAACAGGACACGCGAGAGGACTCAACACCCTTCCGAAGGCCACATTGCCATAGGGCCGCGAGACACAGGGCACAAAGGTGCCCTTGACTTGGCAGGGTCGACCTACTAATCTCGGGAGCGGCCACAAGGGGGGTGTCCAAGAGGGGGGGGGTGCAAATCATGACCGGCGGCACGTGCGCGGCCCAGCGGGGGGGCCAGGGACGTCATGAAACAAGAAGAGGCGCCATGAAATCTGGGGAAATATCATGGCCCACGCCATGATATCCCCCCCCCCCTAGTCATCACCCCCCTCTTTTCCGCCCCCGACCAATCAGGGCCGCCTGTAGCGATCCTCGGAGGCCCCCGGGCCCCGACGGCACGGTGTGCCCTCGAAAGGCCGTGGAGCCGCCCAGCGTCCGTGCCAGTGTCCCTGCGGCGTCGCTGCGGCGCGAGCCTGCCGTGCCTGTTTGCGTGGAGCGGGAGCGTCCGAGCTCAGGGGGAGGGGGAGGAGGGGAGGGTCGGGGAGGAGGAGGAGGAGGAGGAGGAGGAGGAGGAGGAGGAGGAGGAGGAGGAGTAGCAGGAGTAGGAGGAGGAGGAGGAGGAGGAGGAGGAGGAGGAGGAGGATAATGAGAATGATAAATAGGAGAGGAGGAGGAGGAGGAGAAGGATTGAGGAGGAGGGGGCGAGGAACGGGGAGGAGGAGGAATGGGGAAGAGGGGGAATCGGGATGAGGGGGATGGGGGAGAGGGAGGAGAAGGAGGAGGAGGCGGAGGGGAGGCGAAGGGGGGAGGAGTGACAGTACCATGAGGAAGGGGAGGAGAATGAAGATGAAAGCCGCGGACACGCATTTTGCGCTCCCGAGGCCGCTCCGAGGTCGCTCGCTGTCCCCTCCGCTAGGAGGTCGGGCTTGGCCGGGCGCAGAAAGGCGGAGGTTGAAGAATGAACTGGAGGCCTGAACATAGGCACCAACACCAACACAGGGAGGTGCCTCCCACGAGGACAGGTGGTCCCAGATTCTGGTGCTGCGTGACCTTTCGTCCACCTGAAAGAAGCCCGAGCATTGCCACCATCACCAAGGTTGGGAACGTCATGCCTGGGTCGAAGCAACCAGCGAGATGGGTGTTGGTGCCAACCTCTACGCCTCCGAAGGCATCGTGGTCATAAAGAATCAGGCTAAGGTCGCGCGTCCAAGACTCTACAATCTGGGTGAAACCGCCGGTTGGAAAGACGGACCCGTGGGAAAAGGCCCAATTCCGCTGATGGGTGGCGACATCCGAACCCCTACCAACCATCGACTCTCCTGACCTGAATCAATGGGAGGCAGGGGTAGGGCGCGGACTTCGCCACGTGTTCGACGAATTCCGAACCCTACCCCTGCCGCCCATCGAGTTGCCAGAATGGTTGATCGGCAAGGGTAGGGTTCGGATTTTGCCGCCGAGCTGATCGGCCCGGGTGTCCAGACGCCCCGGTCCCTGGCCGGCACGCGTGGCAGCCCAAGATCGGACAATGGCACTCATGGCACAACTACTCCCGATTTCGGTTGCGAAATCAGGTGCTCCTGAAGAGTGAGGGGGGGGGATGACTACAAGGAGGAGGACAAACAAAACAAGCGCAACATAGGACCATGCAGGAAGAACAGGCGGTTCCATTGGGAAGCGGCGCTTCTGGGTCTCAGAAGCCGCGTTCTCGGCATGGAGTCCCTGATGCTGGAGTGCTCGCGCTCAAGTCCCTGAACAACTTGTGGCCCTCGATCAAGCCCCTCGCTTTGGCCCGGGGCGCGCCCGGGGGGCTGGCGACTGCACTTCCTCGCGAACCGCGCTCCATCGGCCGGGGGCTGAAGCTAAGGGTGCCTCCAGAGGAACAGAAACCAGCATAGGCATCACTTCTCGGCGGCCCGCGCGGATGTCTTGGATCGGCGCCGGATCCGCCTCCCTGGCGCGCGGAACGTGGCAAGGGCGGCGCCAGAGGCGCCTCCAGAGGGGGGCACAACGCCGATCAGAACAATCTGCTCGGACCTCCGAAAACTCCGCGTTGGTGCTGTTTTCTCTTGGACGCCCGAAATGGGTACGGAAAAAATGAGTGCAATGCCCAACAACAAATGTTGTCCCAAACCAGCAGCGGCCGCTGTTGGGCAGGCGGCCCTCTGTCTCGAACGGACACAGCCGCGGCGGCGCGGACAGCGAGTCCCGTCCAAAATGAACAGGAACTGCTGCTGGGCACCGCACGCATTCTTTCCGTACCCATCTCGTTCGTGCCGATGTATGGGGCACTGGGACGCGCAAACACCGAATTTGGGGAACCATCAGATACCGATACCGCTACGCCTCCCCGGGCGCCTCCTGGGGCGCTCGTTCTGACCAGGCTCTCGAGGAGAAGCCAGCCGCGGCGACGAGGGCCCTCCAGGACGAGCAGCGGTATACCGGCGGTGGGTACCTTTGTCCCCTGTGACAAACCCAGACCCCCGACGTCATGATTGTTTCATGACGCGAGCCCTGGAGGCCCCGATCCATTCCCCGGGATCGGCTCTTCGTCCCGAGTCGTTTTGTTGACGGCCCCGAGGCCCGGCGAGGGCCCCCGGAGGCCGAACATAGCGAAAACCCCCCCGTCGTGATTTCTTCATGACCCGAGGGGAGTCTGGGCATCCATCGTTCCGCTTTCGCTCGTGCCGCTTTCTGCCCTCCGAGCCTCGTGGGGCCCGCGTGGCCCGCCTAGGCTCGGGCTGTGGCCTCCCGGGGCGCCGCTGCCCGGGCGGCGCGCCGGTGCCGGCGGCGGCCTCGGCGGCCTCGGAGCTCGTGCTCCGCACGGTCATGGCGCTGGGGCGCCCCTCCAGGCGGAAGCTGCCCACGTGCCGCATCGTCCGCTCCTTCCGTGACGGCCAGGAGCCCAGACCCCCTCGGGTCATAAACAAAGTCACGACGGGAAGTTTCTCGCCAGTTTCGGCCTCTGGGGGCCCTCACCGGGCCTCGGGACCGTCAAAAAACGACTAAGGATGAAGAACCGGTCCCGGGGAATGGGTTGGGACCTCTGGGGGTCGCGTCATGAAAAAATCATGACGTCGGGGGTCTGGGAGGTACAACTCCAGAGGCGCGTGCGGACCAGACGTTCGAAGCGCATCCAGCCGAAGCGACGCGGGAAGGGTAGCGGCACCGGCATGGGACGCACGAGGGCATAGCAGTATCTGTGTGTCCCTGTGAGAAGCGCGCGCGCCCGATCTGAACGTGTTACCCAACGTGGGCTCCAAACAGTGTATGTCTAACACATCTACGTTGTGCAGTATATGTGTTGAAGTCGATGTGGTGCAATGTTTAAGGGAACGTCCATGTGGTGCAATATACGTGGTGCAAACCATGTGCTGCAATAGATGTTCTGAGGCATGTTTGGTGCAAACCATGGTGTGCAATATATGTTGTACAATATGTGTGGTGCAAGCTATGTGGTGAATTCTATGTGATGCGACCCATGTTGTCTACCTGATGCAATCTATGTTTCCCAATCCATGCTGTGCAGTCAACGTGGTGCAATACATGCAATGCAATCTATGTGGTAGCATTCACCATGCCAGACTTGAATTTGTCAATCCACTGCTCGCGACATCATCCCACCCACCCAGCCGCAACTTGGCTCGCGAAACCCATGCGGAAGCGATTGCGGTGACTGCTTTACGCTGGATAGCGCGTCGCTGCGGTCACGCCGTCGTACGCAGACTCCCACGCAGAGAGGCCAGTTAGCCTGGCGCGACCGACAAAGCGGCGGTGGCGCTGACCAATCGCAGTCACACACAATCTCACTCATACTCGCTGGCACACAGACTCAATCAGATCCTGATTCACTAGAACTCCGACTCGCTCACACTCAGATCACTCATACTGAGATTTCGCTCGCACTAAGGTTCGCACGCAAGTGGCTACCGCGATATAGCCGGTGTGCCATGTGGGTAACTCAAATGCCAGCGGGCGCCGCCAGTAGAACGCGAGAGGGCGGGCGTAGCAACACCATGCGCAGTGAGAACGGCAAGAGGAATTTCCCCTCGCCCTTCCACTTGTGTGTCCCCCACCCTTCCTGAAAGAAGTCCGGAGGATGACGTCACTGAAATCGTCGTTGTCGTCGTCGATGTGTCGTCTACACGGAATCGCTCCCACACAGAGTTCCTCAACAAGACGTGACAAGAAGTATTAGATGCACGTATGGGGATCTCCGCGTCGAGAAATTGTTGCTTTGGATGTTGTTTGTTATTAAGTTGTATGTGCTTAAACTTCCAGTGGTGGCTGGATCCGTGGCATGTTTCAAACTGTCTGGTGATATGTGTTCTGAGAGTACGTGTTTGGGCTAATAGTGTTTCCAATGTGATGTTTAGGTTGTTTTTTTTCCTGGGAGTGCTCGCGGAAGCGAGAAACAGGAGTACCAGAACCAGGGACCATGAGTTCGAGGGGGAACAACATGATCATAAAAAA